ACACACACACACACACACACACACACACACACACACACACACACACAGTGTGATGTGCTGATTTTCAGGTAGATCTCTCTATTCAGGTAGAACTGAATTGAATGTTTAATTCCAGTGGGGCATGGGGACACATTGCTCCTTGCATGTGTCCTATGGTAGAGCTCATTGATATTTTATGAAACATTACTACACACACAGAGCTCCTGAGAAGAAACCAGACAAAGACAGAAGGTAAAATCAAACCGAGGTTCTAGAACAGAGCACTGGCATCTGGATATTCATCAGCAGAAGCTATTCAAAGTTTGGCTTTGTTTTCTGTTGTTTCCATTTTCTTTGATACTGATTATACCATATAATGGAGACATTCACACACCGTACTAAAATTTTAATGATTTTAGTTGTCATGACATTCCACAGACTGAGAGTTGAACTCGTTAAACTTCCAGGATTTCTCTTCAATATGTAGGTCATTGAAAGTTATTCCTTCTTTCAGTTTTAATTTTTTCTCTTTCTTGAAACTGCTTGATTTCCTCATGTAACAATCCTGATTTGGTTTCCCTCTGGTCTTCCCAGATCCTCCCCACATCTCTTCCCATCCAGATCGCCACCTCTACCCCTCCCACTTCTGCCTCTCATTAAAAAACAAACAGGCTACTGTGGGATACTAATAAAATAAAATATAAGATAAAAAGAAAAAAACTAAGCTGTTCTATTTGAACAAAACAAACAGGGAAAAGAACCTAAGACAAGACACAAGACTCAAGGACTCACTCATCCACACATTCAGGAATCCTATACAAACACTAAACTGGAAGGCTTTATATATATGAAAAGCACTGCAGGGTATAAGGAGAGAAAAATACAATAAAAATAAGATAAAATTATATAAGACAAGGAACCCACTAAGATGCTATTGAGTTCCTTTTCAGTTGGCCATCTACTGCTGGGCAAGCAGCCTACCCTTGAGTAGTCTGTTTCCCTCGTGAGAAACCCTTGGAGGAAGCTAAATTTTTATTTGCAAGTGACTATCAAATGGAGGTAGCATCTGGGTTTGGGAGGGGGTCTCGTGTCCATGACTTCTTTCAGCTCTAGGACCCAAAATGGTGCAGACCTGTACAGGCCCTGTGCAGGCTGCCACAGTCCCTGTGAGCTCACGTGGGACATCAGTTATGCTGGTTTGGGGAGCTTTGTTGTCTAGGTGTCCTCCACACCCTCTGGTTGTTACATTCTTTCTGCCTCTTCTTCCTCAGGGTTCTTGAGCCTTGAGGGGAGGAATTTGATGGAGACACTCCATTTGGGGCTGAGTGTTCTGAGGTCTCGCTCTGCATACTGTCTGTCTGCAGGTCTCTGTTTTTGTTCCCATCTGCTGCAGTAGGAAGCTTCTCTGATGATAACTGAGGAAGGCACTAATCTATGAGTATAGCGCAATGTCAGTGAGAGTAATTTTATTTATCATTATCATTATTATTATTATTATTTTTCAAAATAGCAGTATTTGGTTTTACCCTAGGTCTATCCCTTGGCTATGTAGTCTCAAGTTCTTGGTCACTCACTCAGTGTCAGGTATGTGTCCCATCTCATGGACTGGGCCTTCAGTCAAATAAGATACTGAATGGTTACTCCCACAGCTTTGTGCCATCACTGCCCTACCGTATCTTGCAGGCCAGGCACCATTGTAGTGAAAGGGTTTGTAGTTGGCTTGGTGTTTATGTTCCTCTTTTGATAGCACGAAGAGTACCTTCCTGCACCAAAGACGCCTGCCTATAGGAATGCGGTCTTTACGTAGGCACCAGCTCCACTTCTCCATGTTCAGGGGGCTGTACAGGTGATGGCTTAACAATGAAAGCCTTGTCATCGGTTTGTAGAAAACATCCTATAGTCGTGGCAACAGCCTGGGTTCCTTGGGGTCCCCACGGGACCCCTTTGGCT